AATATTTGGGATCTAAGGTATGCCTTTTGATAGATTAATGATTTTAGGATCAATGGGAGATGGGTTTTGGTGTAAACTTGTTATTAAAATGGAAGATTGAATTTTTAGGGTGGTAAAAGACTTGACTTGTATGCTTTGTGTGTTGCCTTAGATTATTTGTGGGTTGAGACCTGGAAAAAGAAGGTGTTCTTAAACTTAGCTCTATTCATTGTTTGTTTGTGGAAGGAAATGAAATTGTTTATTGGGCTTTTTCTTTGCTCTCATAAGTCTTAGTTCTGGAATTAGGAAAGTGGCACTAGACATGAACTCAATTATTGCCTAACAAAAAAACTATTGTTCATTGTTCAACAAAATGTCAAAGGACTGGAACACCTTCTATGACTTTATTCTCTGTCACACTTTTGCATATACGTCTTGCAACTTCATATATTACCTCACAAAGTTAAGATCTCAAAGTTTGCGTACTCTTTCATGTTCTGTGATGTATTTAAAAACTTGGCAAGTTTATTCAAGATCTGGCCGACATCAAAGATTGACATTGTAGACTCTTGGTTGGACTTTTTCTATAGAGTTGTACGTGACTATAGATAATTGGCTAATTCGATAAATATTATTACATCTTCTTCATATCCACATGGAAGGATTAATTATGGATTATTATGGTGAATGCCTTCAATGTGGGTACCACCATACCAGCTTCATGTTGTTGTTACAACCCCGTCAATGATGGAATTGAATAAAATACTTGATGAACATTTATCTAACCACTCCCCCTTTTGTAACTAGTTATAGGTAATGGATTTGGTGCCTATTAGTTTATCTATGTTTGCTTCCATTTGTTGTATGTTATTGCCATGTTTAATTGAATCCAACATGAACATGTTTTTTCTTGAAATTTTATTTGTTTTGTCAAACATTGCTACTGTTCTAGGAGGATTGAGGTTGGATACTTTTTTTTTTCCCGAAATGTAAGGTTGGATGAGTAGTAATTGATAGTTTAATGATTAGAGACATTTGAACTGAGAGTTGTTATTGGGCATTTTTAATGCGTCACTATGTTATGAGTTCTTTATTTTTGATCATTCTATCTTTTTTCTCTTATGTTATGTGGATTTTGTAACTGGATTGATTGATTCTTAAGGAATTTTTCAAACTTTCTTGATACTATATGTTTATTTTTTTTTATAATACTTTTCTATTTTTTCCTATTTTGTGATGGCTTTAATTTTGTTTTTGATGTTACTTTAATAATATATATGAACTTATTACAAACATGAAATCTAATTTAAGATAGTCCACACACAATGGGTGTGTGCACCAACTAGTTTATAAAAAAGTGGCATCATCATGGTGCTCATAACTTCACTAAAAACTGAATTCAGCAGATCGAATATGTACCAGAAGCCCAAAGTAGCACATAATTAATATTTGAAGTCATGCAGTTTTTGTTTTGGGATTTAGACCCTTCTCATTTCATAGCTCAACATGAAGCAAACAAAAAATGTAGTTAATCATAATACGGATTCATATCAACTACAATTCATCTATATACATCTGAACAAAGTCATTGATCTAAAGTTGCATTAGTAATGATCTAGGTGTTTTCACAACTTCTGGGGCTTTATACAGAAGTTCTAAAAATTAACCATAAATCATACAAGCCTCCCATTAATAGGTGGTTCAAGAAATGTGAAAACCAAACAAATATTTGGAAAGACTCGTGAATGGTGCAATTACTGAGTTATCAACAAAAGGTAAACCCATCACTTAATTAGCAAGCCCTCATCTATAGCAATTTAACATTCAACTGATTTATCAATAATGAGGCAAAAATGCACGCATACCCTCACCCAAACTTTATATCATTACATATTAAAATTCGAGAAATATCTGGCCTTTACATGATTGACAAAAATATTTAGAGTTCATGTCAAAATATTTCTAAGCTAATATCAGTTCTCAGATCCAATCCAACGCCGCATTTCACTCTACAAACCTAAGTAAAATGCATACGATTCCACCCAATAATTTGAACTAAATGACAGTTTTCAACTGGTAAATCAATAATTCAAATATACTCAATTTAATATCATCTCCTTACTATATGTAAAAAAAATCCGTTAGATTAAAAAATCAATATAGACGTCTAACAAAAGTCAAAATTAAAAAACATGAACATTCCCTTTGAAATTGTCTACATACCAGAAAAGGACGTCTGAAAAATTTTCATCATGCATGCATCACAAATCCAGAAAACAAATCTTGCATTGAAATGATAGAACAGGATTTGGCAAACCCATTTGATGTAGAGCACAACCAAACCTACAAAACAATCTTTCAACATTTCAAAGAGAATCAAGAAGTCCAATTCACATCCTCGTGAATATAGCACACCCCTGAGAATTGAATTCAGCAAACGTTAACCGTGAAGGAGCACCCCAATCGACTATTGAGAGAGAGAGAGAGAATCAGAGCAGCGAGATGAAGGGAAACGTCACCCTTTAACCATTGCTCAATGATAATTTATGTATTTGAAAATAGGACATAATAGTTTTTATAGGGACAAAATGAAAAATTTTCACTTTATACTATTGTTTAGGGGTATTTATGGTATTCAAAATTTTGTTGGTTTAGTAGCTTTTAGAAGTACTAGTTGGTACACACGTGCGTTGCATAAACTCATTTCTAGCTTTAATTATATAGACTCATTATTCACGATTAGAAGATATAATGATAAATAAAGGTATACATGAACAAACATATTAACATTTTCCATAGAGTATTTAGGGAAACAAGAAAAGAGCCAAAAACAAATAAGTATTTTTTTTTTGTCTTGTCATTTTAATTGACGTAAACAAATAATGAAGATTATATAATTGTTTTTACCTAAATTACAAACTATCTAGATAGGCAATTAAAAAGAGATCAAGAAATAATGAGACACACATTTAAACAATCAATCTATGACATGACTAAATTCCCAGGAAACTGTTGTTCAATTGAGTAACACAAAAAAGTTGTGATCCTACACTCATCCACTAAAGAGTGGTGTGAAAAAAATGTGCTATTATTATATTATGAACTTTTTATATGTTTTTGGTTTTTCTTTTTCTCTACTGTGTTTCCTTTGTTTTCTTCCCTTAATACCTTTTAACAATAAAATCTATTGAAACACCTCATCACCTCTTGATGCTGCTTCAAAACACTTAGTGAAGTTCCCCAATCATGATTTGGATTTCACCGAAGTTATCAACAAAACTAACTGAATTAAATAAAAGTGACCATATATTTATAAAAAGTGGAACACAAACCTTTGGAGGTTGGAAATGACTTATCACAAGATTTAATAATTGATTCTAAAAAAATCAAAATTTTGCAAAAAGAAAAAAAATAAACATATAGTAAACACAATGAACAAGAACACTAGAGTACTCGTTGCGATCTAGTCTCCATGAGTTTAAAACTTGAACCACTGAATCAATATCCTGGATGAAATCAAAGCCATGACACATGGGTCTTCGAAATGAATTTCTATGAGCAGTAAACTTATCAAATTTAAGCAACCGTAATGCTTGACTAATATATAGGACATTACCTTCCCATAATACTCCAAAAGAAATCCGATTAGGCTATTGTAAGTAACTGCTTCATAGAAACCAATTTTGAACATTGTTCAGAATTACATATTCCATATAAGCTATTAATAATGGTCATTTAGAAGTACAGTGTCTAGTGAGCCACAAAGAGGCAATTAGGCAACAAGATCAACAGAGTATCTAAATAGCTTTTGTCTGTGTTAAATGAAGAACGATCACTGCCCATTCAGGAAGAACAAAGAGTAAAACAACTGGTAAATGAAAAGACTACTACAAGGGGAATGGAGAAAAGAACAAACCCACCTGATAAAGGGTACTGGTCTGATAAGGGGAGTTCTATGAGTGTAAGATGTGGCAGAAGTGATTCAAAGTGGATGGATAAGAATTTTGTAGAAGATTTTGAGCCAAATTCCTCAGATGAGGATTATGTGGATCAGATCTTTAGGCGTAAGCCCAAAGGTAAGATTCCTCTTTCATTTCGTGATTAGTTTTTTTTGTCATGGAATGTGAGAGGGGCTGGGAAAGTCTCTTTGCGCAGGAAACTTAGAAAAATTGTAAGAATGAATGATGTCTGTTTGATGTCGATTCAGGAGCCTAAAATGGAGGGAAGGAAGTTACAGGGGTTAGCAAGGGGATTGGGAATGTCTCATTATTTTTTTAATCCCCTAGCTGAAAGAAATTTATGGTTACTCTGGGATGATAGAGTGCAGATGCAGAAAGTGGCACTCATTCTTTACAGGAGAGTCTATTTTCTGTTATTCCTTCTTTAGTTACTGATGAAATGAATGGGTTGTTGCTGGCTGAAGCTTTTGTAAAGGAAGTGAAGTCTGTTTTTTTCTCGATGTCTGTGAAGAGTGCAACTAGAGTGGATGGTTATTCTAGGAAATTTTTCCAGGAAGCCTGGGAGATTATAAAAGGAGATGTTTTAAGGGCTATTAATTTTTTTCTAAGGGGTGGTAAGGTGCCAAGGTCAGTGAATGCTACTACACTAGTTTTAATACCAAAGAAGACTGATCCTGTGGCATTTACAGATTATAGGCCAACTAGCTTATGTAATTTCTTATATAAGATTTTTACTAAGCTGTTGGCTATTAGACTTGCACCTATTCTTCCTTTAATAGTGTCTGAAGAGCAGCATGGGTTTGTTAAAGGAAGGAATGTTGGGGATTGTGTGGTTTTAGCACAGTTCATGGTGGCGAATTTGGATAGGAGAGTGGAGGCTGGGAATGTTATTTTAAAGCTTGATATGATGAAAGCCTATGACAGGCTGGAATGGGACGTCTTGTTTAAAACTTTATCATGTTTTGGGTTTTCTGAATTATTTGTCAATATTATTGCAAATTGTTTAGAAACCCAGTTTGTTTCGGTAAGTGTAAATGGTCAGAGAGTTGTTTTTTTCCTACCACCAGGGGGTTAAGACATGGAGATCCAATCTCTCCTTGTTTGTTTATCCTTGCTGAAAAGGTCCTTAGTACAGGGATGAGGAGATTATGTTTGGAAGGAAAAGTGGGTAGCTATCACCTGGGAAGAGGTTCATCTTTAGTTAGTCATCTCTTGTTTGCGGATGATACATTGGTATTTCTTAGAAGGGATAGGAGATCTATGAAGAATTTGCTGATTTTTTTGGAGAGTTATGAAGGTAGTTTTGGGCAGAAAGCCAGTGTTCAGAAAAAGTTCCATGTACTGTTCAAAGCTGATCTCTGCTGGCAGGAGGTTGGAGTTGTCAAATTTAGCAGGTATTCCAATTAAGCAGTACCCCTTTATGTATTTGAGATGTCCTATTATTAAAGGGAGAGCTAGAATCAGGGATTTTGAAGAGGTTTTGGCTAAGTTTAGAAGCAGATTGGAGGGTTGGTATTCCAAAATGCTTTCAAACATGGGTCGAATTTTAATGGTGAAGTATGTTCTAAATTCTGTTCCCATTCATATTCTGGCCCGTCATAACTTACCTAAAACTATTATTCATAGAATGAATGCTATGATGGCTGGCTTTATCTGGTCTAATAAAATGGAGGTGAGAAAGAGGCATTGGGTGTCTTGGAATAAGGTTACGTTACCTAAGGAGGAGGGGGGATTAGGTGTGAGGAGGTTTGAAGATTTACAGCTGGCTTTCCGAATGAAACAAGTGTGGAATTTGTTGCAGAAATCCTCATTATGGGCTAAGGTCTATTCTACCAAATTTCTATAGGGTAAACATTTGCTGAGATGTGTAAGAGGGGGACATTCTATGTGTTTGAAGGTCTTGCGGCCTTTCTTTGAGATTGTGTTATTAAATTCCAGAGTACTGTTGGGGAGAGGTGATCATACTGACTTCTGGTGTGATTTGTGGTTAGGAGATAGGCCTTTGCTCTTTAGGATAAAGGGTTTGCCTCTGGTATTTCCTAAGGTCAGCGAGTTGTATGTTAACTCAGTTTGGCAATTGGGGACTGTTGAGCACCTGTTAGGTGAACAGTTAGTTGCTGAGATTAAGAACTGTGGGGCTTTTCTTTCTAATTCAGATGATAAATGGATTTGGCAGTGTTCCAGTTCTGGTTCTTTTTCTGTCAAAACTGCATGGCAATTGGTTAGACATCGGGAGCCAGGGGGAAAGGAATGGGGTTGAAAAGGTTATATGAGGTATAGTGACTGCTCCAAGTGCACAGCTTTTGTGGGTTGGAAAATTTTAATGAATGCCTTACCTATTGATGCCAGGATTAGGAATTGTGGTGTCTCTATGGTTAGCAGATGTTCTCTGTGTTTAAGTGAAGAGGAGACTTCTGTACATTTGTTTGTGGATTGCTTTTATGCTAAGTTAATATGGAGTAGGTTGGTGAGTATGGCTGGCTTTCCGCTTATAGAGGGGGAGTTGGAGTTGGTGAGAATGAAGAGAATTTGCAGAATTTTTAGGAAAAAGTCTCTGGGCTGCTCTCTTGTAAGAAGTTTGGCATTGTTAATTTACTGGTTGGTTTGTAAAGAACAGTGTAGGAGAAGAGCTGGAGAAGGTCCTATTAATTCCTATTCTGTTTTCCTTAAAATCTGTAGCTTGTTGAGATTTCATGTTAAAAACATAGAGCCTAAGTTGATGGATAGGGAAAGAGGAAGGTGTTTACTGCTCTTGTTAGGGATTAATGTGCCTAATGTGATCAGAACTAAGGCCATTTGGGTTTGCTGGGTTAATCCAGAGTGTGGTTTATTGAAGTTAAATGTGGATGGAGCTGCTAAGGGCAACCCTGTTATGGCTGGTGGGGGTGCAGTGGTTGGTAATGAATGGGGAGGAGTGGTTTTAGCTGCATCTTTTTTCTATGGCATATGCTCTAATATGGTGCTGAGTTTAGAGCTTTGTTAGACGGTTTGAGTTTGCTTGATAAGTATGGCCTCCTTGTATATAAAATTCAGATTGAATCAGATTCTCAAGTGCTGGTGAAGACGATAAAGGGAGAGGTGCAGTCTGCTTGGCCTTTTATAGGCATTTTGACTCAAATAATGCAGATTTTGGCTAGGATGCAGCTCCAGTTGACACATGTATTTAGGGAGGCTAATTTTGTAGCGGATGGTTTGGCAAATAAGGCGGTCCAAGATGGTTTCTCTACTGATTTTTCGGGTACTAGTCTCTTACCAGTTGCTGTTAGAATGAAGCTGCTCCAAGATCAGCGACATTTGCCAACATTGAGAACCAAAACTATATTGGTTTTTGATCATTGTGGTTTAATGGTATGTTTGAAGTGTAGATATGATGAGTGGTGTTTTGGAATAGGCTTGCTGCCTTGGTGGAATGGTGATTATACTGCGCAAAGAGACACAGCCAGAGGGGACTGCTATGGTCTTTTAGTGAGGTTATGGTGCCTTTACTTTGTTTTTTTGGGGCCTTGGTTTGTAATGTTTTTGACAGTGAGTTGTTTTGAAGGATTAAAGCCAAAATGTGGCTTGTCCTCTTTGCTTCTTGCAATTCTTTAATTTTCTCAATAAATTTTCTCTCTTTTTAAAAAACAAAAAATGAAAAGACTACTTAACACCAAAGAGCTGTAACAATACCTCCATTACCTATGGAAGAAGAAAATATGGTCCTCCAAAAAGATAGTCGATTAACTTACGAGTGTTCATATGAGGAGTTTGAGTAAAGCTACAACAAATGCAAATTAGTGGACCTAATAAATACATGAGAACCAAACAATAAGACAGAAAATGAAGGATTTTGTGGTAAACGGTTGAGAGTAAAGTGAAGAGGAAGTGAATGGATGCCATGAAGATGGAAAGTTTTGGCTGTTATGCTAAGAAATTATGTCTTCAATATATGGCTCGTTGTAATTTTTATGGCCATTAATTCTATGAATGAAAATAATTATTCTCCCATATGCAAAGAAGTTGTGACGTATTAAAAACTTCACGACCCTACCTATTGAATGATTAAATGTACACTATAATGAGGTGTAGAAAGAGAGGTGTATATTATGGGAGGCTAAGAGCCCTAATGCATTAGGGCTAATTAACTAAAATTATCTTTTAGTTAATTTGTATGTATTCAATTTGAATTAATGTTAGAAAGGATACAAGTGGTATTAGTTTTTTTATTATGGTTATTTTAGTCAATCAAAAAATTTTCATCTTTGTTGACATTTTATAGTAATATTGACTAGTTACTGCACATGTACATTACACGTGAACTATTAATCTATTAGTTTTGTTTTTTTTTTAATTTTGATTTTTACAACAATGTGTTGTGTGGCCAAATTGTCGTTGAAAGACCATACATTGAAACATAAACATTAAGCAAGAGTGTAATAGGATACGTTAACCATAATGCACATTAACTTTGTTGAGTGTGATGGCGAATCACATAAACAGTAACATGCAAATGCAAAATTAACAAAACTAAATGCTTCCTTCAGTCATGACCACAACATGTCCTTTCATGTAATGCAAAGCTCCTCAAAGCAGCACTAACTAATGCAACTTTGAGCAACAACACTCCAACATATGCTTAAAAAACCTGAAACCAGAAAAAAAAACACATACTTTTGATTTAGATCAAGACTTTCAAGCAACATGGTTAATTATGTCCCTCGTGATAAAAAAAAAACATAAAATTATCTCTCCCTAAATTTGAAGAACGAAGCAGCACAAAATGTATAGGGGCGAGGGTCCAATATGGTACATGGAAGTAATACTTCACTAAAAAATTCTCAACATGTTGAATGCATTATTATGCATAGGTCAAGACCATCCCTGGACAAGCTTTTGTTTGTGCAGCATTAACTGAAACGAAGGTGGAAAAGAGCAAGGAATCTTTTGTCACCAAAGATAGAGATGTTCATTTGGTATGTAATTTCAAGATCATTGAAGAAATAAGGGCGATTAATCAATTTGATTATAGTTTAGAAGCAAAAGATCAAGTCAAGACTTTCCACCTTTGTACATAGGATTTGATCAAAAAATAGGGATAAAGAGTACCCAATTCCTTGCTTTGCTAATAACATGAAAGATTTTCGGCATGAAGAGAAAAAAGAAGGATCAAATTTCAAGCTCTAATGACAACTCATTACTTGTGGCGGGAATGCAGTGTGGCACAGAAGATGAACGTTAGGTTTGGATAAACCGCAAACCTACAAGGTTCCCGTATCAGCATTCTAGCCGTCGGTGATGCATTTACATGGGTATAAAGAAAGGAAAAAAATACGGAACAAAGAAGGGACATAAATATTCGTCCAATGGCATGATCATTTGTTTTTGATAAATTTACACCTTTAATCACGCTCCAGAAGATAGCCGCTACATTGTTTTTTTGATGGGCATTCATGTGATAAGATAAAAGTTGAATTGTTCAGCACCAAAAAAAAATGACTGTAAAAAGCAAAAGAAAAAGAAATGGCACATAATGCAAATCTACCAATACAAGAGACAGGACATAGACGATTTTAGTCCATATAACCTAGTTAAGGTTCATAATGTTCCGAAGTGATGGCTTAGCTTTTTGTGTTTGTTAGAATGACCAATTGTGTTCCTATCATTGTGTGAAAGTTTTGAATTGCTAATATTTTAAGGTTCTCTGGCCTAATATATTAATAAATTCTACTCCATGTATCAACATCAATTTGCTATAATATAACAAAAAACTCAAACTCAAGAATAGATTGATCAACAGTGAGGCAATGATACAAGCGTATTCTTGCTCAATTATGTGGATGCTCCCTTTCTATTTACTTGTTCAAATTGTGATGTACTGATCTTGGCGTGAAATCTACACAAGAAACTAAGAAATCAAGACCATCAGTTGATAATTTTACTGTATGGGAGGATGTTACACAAACAAATGAGGATGAATATCAAACAGATAGAGACAAACCTATACCAATGTCCTTGGAACAAACAGAAGCAATGTTGAATGAAAAAGACAAAATGATATTTGTCGCTCAGTATGTATTCTTAGATCTGCAAATCTAATGATTAGACACAAAAAATCCGTAAGACATCAAAATGGAGGATATATTTGAAGAGCCTATTATGGAAGATATAATGAAGCATAAGCATGTAAAAATTAGTTCACTTTGTATAAAAATTCCTCAAGAATTTGGCTTAAAAACTATTAAACTAATTAGCTTTACTTTCAAAGATTTTGAATTTACTATTTCTCTTGGGTGAATTTGATATGAACAATGGTTTAAACGTAAATCAATGTTGTGGTAATACAAGGTTTAAGATCAGTTCTCACTGAAATCTACTCTTATTTTACAAGTTGATAGGAAACATTCAGCCCCCACCCACTTTTTACATATCCTGTAACTATAAAATTAATATCTAGATTTACGTTCAAAATAAAAAAGCAATTGGATGCTCAAATTAAAACTGTTGTACCTTACAGAATTGTGATTACATGGTATTGAAGTTTTGTTGACTAAACAATAATCACTGTATGCAAAGTTCTACTTGTTTTTCACCAGAATATATAGAACAGTTCGACATCAATAAGTAGATGAGGGCTATCCTAATTGACTGGCTAACTCGCTAAGGATTAAATATTATGAAAAACCTGAATAAAAATATAGTAAATCCAACAACAACCATCACATACAAGAACCACAAATCATACCCAAAACTACAAAGATATATTACTTGCAACTAAAAATTCATTACCTTCAAGCAATACACCGATGGTTGTGCAGTGCCAACGCACAAAAGCTGAGGGCATCTGACAGAGAGGGGGAGAAAGAGAAGTGTGTCAATTGACGTCACGCTATGAAAGTGGAGAATGAGGAATATATTCACCATGTTGAATCTGTGTGTGGCCTTCCTAATAGTTTGATGAGAAAAACAGCTGCAAATTTATGAGGCGAATAATTAATTTACCTTGTTAAAAGTTGAATGTATTAGTATCTAAGCAAAAGAATGAGTAAATAAGAAAAATCAATAATGTAGGATGTTAGACAGGAATGTACTCATATTGCTTGGAAGCAACATATAAGCAAAAATCCCAAAATATCGCAAACTCCAACTATGTAGTCTAGCTTATGCATACCCAATTACATTGCAATTTAGGAATACAATGGTACCTAGATGACTGGGTGGTGTATGTATAGTATTACCAACAACTAACGTTTTTATAGTGGGTTTGTATTTGAAGCGTGAGCTCCGTGCACTTACATTGTTATGATATTTCAACTAAATTGTCAATTGCACTCTCACAATAAAAGTTGTTCGTAACTCATGCTCAATTTATCATTGCTTGAAACAACTCACTATGTCATCGTATATCTGCAATTTTTTTACCTAAGTTGATTTACACGTGCGTGCGCGTGAAATATGGTGAATTATCATTCTGATTATTATTTTATATTACTGATTTCTAAGTTTATTGGTTGAGAATTCAAAGATTTGAGCATATGTCTCCATATTTGATTTATATTGAACGATAACACACAATACATGGAGTTATGTTTCAACTTGTAGGTCTACCCAAACTAAATTTCATTCCTAGAAAAAGAGTACTTTTGGTCCTAAATCAGCCACTATATTCTCAAAGGTTGTTTTCAAGTTTATATCCTTATCTATTCCATGATGAAATCATATATTACACAAGTTTACTATGAGCCAAGCTTTCGTCAATTCCTTGCTACACAATTGGTTTCAAGGAAAGTGTGGCTAACTCTTTCATTTGATTCTTGAGCTGTTAAAACACATTGACAAATAAATGTAAAATTTTAAAAATAACAGGAAGCGTATAAAATGTAAAAATCTCACGGCCCAAACTTGAAAGGGGAAACATGATTGTGGGCTAAGCAAAGATTGGCAAAAAACAATCCACGTCCCTATCCTAATTCTATAAGCTTTTCCACTGGTATCAAATGCAATGCAATCATCTTGGGCAATGTGCCACTTTCCTCGACATGCTAAACATTTCCAAGTGCTAATTACCAACATATCATGGTTGAATGTCAACTATCTTAGCAACAGTTTAGTCCTGTCAACATCTAGGAAAACAAAAACACCAAGAGGATCCAATTGAGTCCTAAACGTTCCAAAGCATAATACCTCTCTTGTGTCTTGCACATACGAGGATCCTACTGCAAACTCTTGAAATCCCCTATCAATCTCTTCCTCAGAGTAGTCGACATCCTCCCTGGTTTTGTCACCAACTTGGAAAACAAATCTAATTAACTACAGCAAATTCAAGCAAAAATTAGCTTTCATTTGCAAGTACAGAATTGTATTTATCCCTTTCAAAAAGAACCCCGGATCCATAAGTTATATGAAGATCTAGATACATAGAGATAGAGAGCTTACCTATGAGTATGAGTGGTAAGAACAATTAGGTTATTGACGAATTCTTGCAATAGAAAGAATGACTGGCACAAAACTTTTCATAACGGCATTATCTGCAACAAAAAGATAGTTTATGAAGGTATTGATCAACCAACTGCACAAACTTTAGAAAAAAAAAATAAAAAAAAAAATCATATTTTGAGGGTCATATGCATAGTTTCCTCAATAGATAATCAGCAAAGCTTGAACCTCCAGATTCCAGAACGCGGCCGAGTAAACAAATAATGGTGACGAGCCTTCAGTGGTGAACACTAGTAACCTGATGTAAGAGAACGCCCGCAAAATTTTGTTGAAAATGCTCTGATCACGTCCTTGCCAAGTGGCGCACCACCACAATCAACCCTATCCAACTACCTCAAATCATAGCCATCCGTCACATCTCCCTTCGCCATAGTCACCAACACCGGTAGTGCCACTGCCACTGCCACATCCGTCACCCTGAACTCCCCCACAGCTCTCCACATTTTCCTCAAGTCAAACCTCTCCATCAACACCACAGTCTCACTTAGAGCCACAGACTTCACACTGTCAAAAACCCAAATACATGAAAATAAGGCACCGTATACAGCAACAACGTCGGTGACTCCCTCTCCGGTCGCCGAGCTAAAAATATCCCTACAATCGCAATCAAGTTCCGATGAGTAAGCATCACACCTTTGATTTGGCTGGTAGTCCCCGACGAGTACATAATCGCTGCGATATCAGACTGACTCACTTCGACGCGGGGCAGAGTTCACGACTTGAACTCGATAACACCGACTCAAACTCAGGCGAGTCAATAAGTATTGTCCGGTATCGCATGGTTGGAAGCTTGTGACACGTTGATGACACGACAAAGACGATCACTGCTTTTGAGAGCTTGATTTGGCGGGAAATCTCGGTTGAATTGGGAGAGAGAATGAATGCAGTGTCGCCTTTGGAGAGACCCGTTAGGTTTTGCAGAGATGCGGCCAGGATTTTGGTTTGATTGGTGAATTCGGAGTAAGAGAAGCAGCGGCCAGTGGCTGAGTTGATCAGAGTGGTTGGGTTGGGGCATGGTGAAGTGAGTTGGAGGGTCGACGGAGAAGGAGAGAGGTTGTTAACGGCTGGAAACTTGGGAGGGCGGTGATGAATTAGGTTTATTGGGCCATTTATTTTGCTGAAAAATTGGGAGGAGCAGCACCTGTGATGAATTGGCTTCTAGAAGGCATTAAATTTGTAGGATATACGGTTGGATGGCATATTTGTTTTTACTAACAGCAGGAAAATAAAGTTTTAAAGATACATTGGTACTTTAAAATAATATAAGTAATTACTCATGCTCGAGGGTATTATTGAAAAAAACTACACTTGATACAATATATAAATCAAACAAGAAATTTAGTACAATGACAATAAAACAACTAACAAAATCGATTTAAAATATATTATTAGGTGAGTTGTAGTGGTGGTTGCGGAAATGGGTTATGTGAGTCTGTGGTGGCAATGGGGTTGATGGCGAAGGGGGTGGGTTGGGTAGTGCGAGGCTTGGTGAATTTCATAGTCGTGGTTGTGGCTTGATATGCTATGGTTGATGGAAGAGTAAAGTGAGAAAGTTGAAAAAGAGACGATGGTGATGGCCAGTTAGAATCTTGATGAAGGTGATTAAATATTTGAATATCAATTAATTCATTAATTTTTCTAACTATAAAGACCCAAGAACAAAACACTGCTAACAAATTATAAAAGACCAACCAATAGCATAATTCGAAAAATCAAAAACCCTAAACAACACAAAAATGCATTAAAAACAAAAATCCTTTTATATTAAAATTTTGACCAAAATACAAAACCCAAACATACATGAGCGCACTATCATAAGATCAAATCGAACCAAATGAACAACTAAACATAGGACCAAAACTACCAATGTGCTACCACATTTAAGAGGAGGTTCTCTTTGAATGTTTCTAATGTTTTTTTTTATAATTATTGAGAAATCTGCCCTTTTTTTTTTGTTTGTCATAGTCCTCACTTAGGTGGTATAGTAATGTTGGCATGCCTAGAAGAGTAGTCAATAATTGAACACTTGTTCAATTGTCACAATTAAGTATAAATAGATCCTGGTAATTTTTTTAAAAAAAAAATTAACCTCAATTGTGCAAGGACCAATTTTATTTATTAAAATTTAAAAATGTGAACTGGGGAACTTGTAGTATTACCTAATGGTAAGGCAAAAAAGAAATTAAAGAACGAAACATTAAGGGCAAAAATGTTTATTGCCATGTAAGCCGATATTTTTTAAATTTCAAGATAGTTAGTCCATTCCCAAAAAACTTTTGCATGATTTGCAAGATTTAAGGGATTTGTTATGCTAAAGATTCAAATCTGCACTCTACCTTATTGTATGACTTACACAACCACACATTGGTTTCCAAACCCTTTTGAATTTTAAACTCATCCACCAAGATCCCCACCCAGAGTAGCAAGTCCAAAACAGTTGCACCAAAATGACGAAAATCATGCATAGCTTTCTTGAAATTTTCTCTATCAAAACTTTATGGGGAGAGAGAATTCAAAAGAAATCTCTACTCATAGCTCCCTTGAGACACTCTAGTTGCATTCCACGAAACCGAAAATAAAGGACGTCCGAAAATGAAATGAAAGATACTTTTATGGTAGGATACTTTCATGATTCAGGCTACCCCCATTACTTCAGTTTAAAACTCTATAGTATCCTACCAATTTTAAGATCCTCCAATATCTCTTGTAACTTCGCAAGCACTAATGTCTCTTCCCTCTTTACTTTTTTCAAGATTGACCTATCCCATAAACATCATATGTAAAATAAGAAAACGGGATCTAATAAAAGCAATTAGATGTAATATAAACCAAACCTAAAATATTGAAGTCCACTTACTGGATGTGCGAATAATTGCGATGATTGAAACAAAGCACAACTGTTGCTCATGGCTCACCAATTCGACAACAAAATCAACCAATTACTTCGGCAATGTTCCACTGTTAAGGAGTGTGGGGGTGGTGGCTTATAGTGGTTGGTGGCAATGGTTCGCTCCCCAATTTGACGATGAAAGCAACCGATTAGTTAGAGTTGCTAGGTGAGGTAAGGAGAGAGAGTTAGATGAGAGAGATGTGCCGGGTGAGGTAACAATTAGTATGAGATAGGGGAGAGAGTTAGAGATGAGTTGCTTTTAAAATGAGAGAGAGGCTTGGCGAGTGCATCAGGTGAAGTAGCAAGGAGAGAGTTAGTCTGAGATAGGGAGAGAGAGATATAGTATGGGATAGAGATATAAGAGTCTTTATATTAGTTAGTACGAGATAAGGAGAGACAGTTAGATGAGAGATAGAAGTTTTAGAAAAATTTGACATGAGAACCGTTGGATCAACAATCGTCAAGCGATCTGAGTAGCAAAAAACTAAAGACAAAGGAATCTAGCTACTTGATTATATAAATAGCCCAAGTTTACATCATACACCTCAAACACAAATAAATATTTTCTCTCAAGCTAAATCATTAAAATTCATAAGCATTATCCCACATGCTCACCCATGTTGGTAGGGCTGATAATAGAGTCAAATTTTGCGAGTTCGAGCTAAGCCTGTTAAGCATGTTTTTCTAAACAAGCCTATAAAATTGTTCAAGCTTGGCTCATTTAGAAAATGAGCTGAGCCCGAGCCGAACCTGATTAGTTCGACTATTTTACATATAAATGAGCCGAACTTTGAGACCTCAAGCTGAGTCTTTTAAAAATTGTTCAAGCTTGGCTCGTTTAAAATACGAGTCAAGCTTGAGTCAATTTTTATCTGAGTCGAGCCCGAATAGCTCGGCTCAATTATCAGCCCCATATGATGGTATCAATCTCAACATCAAAAATTGAAAAAATGTTAATTATAAGTGTGAACACAAGTAGCTCAGCAGTTTCCAAACCTAAACAAGGTTTAGAAATATAAGTAAAACAAGTCTCAATTTTTTCAAATAAGCATATATAACTTTAGAAGTAAAACATGTGGTATTAATAACGATCTCAATTTTCTAAACGTGCATAAAAAATTCATAACAGAGTAGAATCATTTAGAAAACAACAACTTACAATAGAAAATGATGGGCCAAGCCCAAGGGCCCAACTCATGTTATGAGCCCAGTTTGAATAAATAGTCCAATTCTAAGAGATCCAGCAAGTCAAATCCAGAGTGGTCCACACCCGGTTAAGTTCATCGCATTCGAGGAGCTAAATCAACAGGGGAGCATGTAGAGTCATCCAAGAGCTTGATCCTCGCCGCCTTAGAAATAGTTAACCCTCACCTCATCCTTTGACTGAATCTCATGGAGAACACCGTAACCGCCTCGCCTATTGAGAAAAGGTCGTCAGCTTCACTAGATTAGCTATTTAGTTACTATTAAGTCGCCCTAACCTACTATGAGGCGACTATAAATTGTAAGCCCCATCAACACTTGGGGGACATCACACTCAGTCAAGCATAACTCTTTTCTCCCTTTCAAAGCTTGCAACTCTCTGCTCTCCCTACACACTTGAAGTAATAAAATACCCAGTGACCTTAGCCATTCAAAGTGGATGTAGGTCATGTTAATCGAATCACTATAAACCTTGTCTTCTTCATCTCTCACTTATTAATTACTGCTCATCTAACAGGTGGTGTACAAATCTAATTTGTCCATCATCAGTTTGGCGCCTAAATTCTCACTTCTAAACACTCTCTTTGTTAAATCTATGACGATCACCACCAGATCAATGAATCAACCTGAGGATAATCCACCACGAGAGGAGGAGGTTGCTCCTCCACCAACCAATCATGTCCCAAATGCGCAGCAGATGCTAGAGACCATGTAGCAGCTTGTGACCCAAAACTAGTAGATTCTGTAACTCATGCTCATCGGATAAGGAGGCGCACAACCTACTGGACACCAAGCCAGAGGAGCTTCATGCCTTGGGCGTCAAGTAGCTCCGGGCACCCCCTTTGGAGCCCCTTTAGATGCCCCACCCTTGGGCGCCCACCCTTGGGAGCCCCACATGGGGGAGCTCCCTATGAGGGACCTCCACCTCCTCCTCCAGCTCTCGTTTCTCATGGGGGATACCCTCTCTTCCAAGAAGATAAGGGTGAAAACTAAAGCATGGAGCCATTTCCATGAGAACTCCAAAGGAGCTCCCAATTGCTGGAATGAAAAAAATAAAGGAGGTACAAAGTCAACTAGGTGACGTCTTCAACGCTATGAAGGTGTAAAGACCTGAGACTGTGGACTATCCAGTTAGGCAAACTAACATGCCTTTCATTCTAGACGTGGTGAACTACCTCCTTCCTTAGAAATTCAAAATGTCATCCGTCGAGACCTTTGACAGAACGAAGGATCCACTGGACCACCTGAAAACTTACAAGACCTTAATGCAGCTGCACAACGTCCCCGACGAAATCATGTGTAGGGCATTCCCAACTACTTTGAAGAGTTCAGTTTGATAATTGTTTTCTAAGCTCTCCCCAGCTTCCATTGGCTCCTTTATTGAGCTGAGTAGGTCATTCGTGTTTCACTTCATTGGAGGGCGCCGCCACCAGAAGCCTATCACCCACCTGCTTAGCATAAAGTAGGACCAAGATGAGGGCTTAAGGAGCTACCTCACTCATTTTAATGAGGAGGTCCTCCAAGTTAAGGAGCTCGATGATAAGGTGACTATGACCGCCTTCCTAGGAGGCCTCCGGTCGTCAAGCTTCCTCTTTTCTGTAATGAAGTGCCCACCGAAAAGAAGGCTAGAGATGCTGGCAAAAGCACAAAAGTATATGAATGCTAAGAATATCACAAGGGCCAAGCA